CTATTGTCGGGCCCACCAATTGTGACAAGAGGGATATAACTTTCTTTATGTATGCTACAACAGCAGCAAGAATACTTATCGCAAAGTATTGGAAGACCCAAGATCTACCCACTTTGGAAGAATGGCAGATGAAAGTGATGGACTATATGACATTGGCCGAGATGACAGGCAGAATCCGTGACCAACGAAAAGAGACGGTGGAAGAAGAATGGAGAAAATTTAAAAGTTATCTTAAGGACTACTATAAAACTTAACGAATGCTAAAATGTTGCGGTTTCCAGAAACAAAGGGATACAGGGATATAAGGTTAGAAATTTAAAAAAGGTCTAAGAAGTTAGAGATTGGAAAATAACAATTGGGAGTTGCTAGTTGAACTTTGGACACTGGGATGCAGAGAGGGGGGGTATGGGGAAGTCAAAGGAAAGAAGTTTATGAAAATATGTTTGAAACTATACGTGTATGTTTGTCATTTTTGGTGTTTGTTTGTTTTTTGTTTAAAAAGTTTCTAAAACCAATAAAAAATTTTATAAAAAAAAAGAAAATCGTACTGTTCTTATTTGGGCATGTTCAGAGCTGGAGCTCTAACTTTAGAGAAATTGCTAAGAGAAGACTTTTCCCAAAAAAATCTAAATCTTTATCATTCCATGGCTGTTTTTGACATGCAAAATGGGCAAACTCACTTACCTTTCTAAACTTTTCTTTTTCAGTCCAGTCTTTCCCTCCCCCTCTGTTGCCTGCAAAGAAGTATTAGAATTTATGTTTTCTTTCAGTTGAGCTCAGCCTTTGAAGCAGCTGAATTAGTATACTTAGTCTTTCTGTCAAGCTGCAGTATTTTCCTTTACAACTGGGTGCTGCTCGACTCTGTGCCCACGCTTATGCCAGGCTCTGGGATTTCACATGCTGCTTCTTTCGGAGCTCCACGCTGCTCTGGTGGCTATCCATGCTTGCAGCAGGATTGATGAGAAAATTCTCACAATACATCACAAGGTCTGAACAACAGCGACAAACACCCTGGAATTTAAAACTATCTCCACACATATATGCAACCAAACTCTCAGACCTTTTAAACTTGTATTAAAAATTATACAGGATTTTTATTGACTGGTAGCTCTAGGGGCCAGTTCACACTTAATGGCAAGCCAGAGCATCAATGCTGTGTGAGCATCCTGGGGCCATTCAAATACAAATTATAATTCACTGTCTGTTTCGTGGGAAATAGA